ATAGGGGTAAACTAGGCCCCATGGGAATCTTTGGACCTTACGCAACCCTTACTAGGCATTCCATCCAGTGGACATTCTATTATCCCTCCCCATGTTGGGGATCTTTTTTTTTCTAGGACCCTCTTCTACCACCCCCACAACAGCACTTATCATATCATTAAAGGAGAACTATGAGGTGGGCGATTTTCACTCAGCCTCATAGTTCTAGCTGACCTGGGACAATGAGGCTGTCACAGGTCGGCTCAGTAGATTGGGAGGTGAGCGAACACATACCGGCGCTTGCTCACTTCTCGATCCTGTCACTGCAGAGAGCCGTGACAGGAGAGGGACTGGATTCCCCCCTCCCCTGTCCGATCCTCCAGCGCTGACTGGCGGAACGGACGGGGGAGGGGGCGGGTACAGCTGGCTCTGCCTCTAGATAGGCAGAGCCAGCTGTCACTCACGCAGCTGGGTGGATCCAGACATAATTGTCGGGATCCGTTCCGGCGTCTCAGTATACCGCGAGCTGTCGCTCGCAGTATACTGAGCTGTGGGTGACGGGAGGACGCTAGTTTGTGTCCTCCTGTTACCCTTAGGAGAACTATGGGGAAAAGCCCTAACCCCATAGTTCTCCTTTAACAACATGCTTACATGTCAGATAACCCTTCCGAGCAGGGGACACATCAAGAAGTGTCCCCGAGCCAATCCATAATAGTCCATAATAGAAGTCACCAGCGCTGGATGATGTGTGCAAGAAGTAAAGCACTTTTTATTAAATTGTCACATGCGTCATACAGCCAACGTTTTGGGGACACGGCGGCATCCGTGTTGTCACTTCAAGCACCAACCTTTCATCCAAGGTCTGTAGGATGTATGAAGTGCAGATGATTTCATATTATCGATTTCATCCTGAGCCAATCCAGTTACTCGTCTTCAGCAGAGCCAAGGTCTGCATCAATAAACTCAATTGGGGGAATTTATCAAAACTGGATGAGAAAATCTGGAGCAGATTTGCACTGCAACCAATCAGCATCTCTGTCTCATTTTCAGATCTTACCCGAGCAAACTGAAGAGAGATGCCGATTGGTTGCCGTGAGCAACTGCTCCAGATTCTGTTTGCTACAGTTTTGATAAATTCTCCCCAATGTGTTGAGCATTTTTAGAGATGACACAATGTCACAAGTCCGTACTGAAGGTAATGGGAGGAAGGGTGTGTCTGGTCCTTTTCTTATATGACCCGTGTTCCCTCCCACTGGGAAAAATACAACAGGAAAAACCCAGAGGGGATTGATGCCTTAAAATGGTGGGACTTCTCCTTACATTTATTACACAGCTTTTGACAAGTAAGATTCTCTATACGTAATCTATGCCGCGTCTATCTAGCGTTTAACCCTTCCTTTCTCTTTTGTTTTTCTTGTGTTTTCTTATAGAGGAGGCACGGAGGGTTGTAAAGAAGGAGGACCCATGCAAATGTGAAAGTCTGATTGCCTTCCAGAGCAAAGTGAACACTTACATTGATTCGCTGTCTACAAAACATATCCTTTACCTGATGCATTTTTGTTTCTGGGCACATTTCTGCAGCTCTGTAGGTTTTGTCCCAATGTACGTGAACACGCAACAGTATTGAGCATAGGCATGCGGATTCTAAAGATACCTGAAGATCGTAGATCAGACAACTTGAAATTGTCTATCTGACTGAGCAGGGTTTTTCCAACTTCATCTGTCAGCAGAAGGCCAAGGCTTGTTGTGGGTCTTAATACTGATTAGTGGGACCTGCAAGCAGGGCCAGATTTTCCACAAGGCCAACCAAAGCCCGACCTCGGGGCAGCAAGGTGTAGAGGGGCAGCAGGGGTGTGGAATTCCTATCTCCCGACGCACAGGACATGCAGTTCCGGGTGCCGGGCGGGTAGTTGTTTTCTACATTTAGCCCTGCTTTGGTTTGGTTTTGTACAAGTGATCTCGCCGAAATCACTTGTATGCAGCCTGCAGGTCTGCCATTCTCCATTGGGAGCTGTTTGGCGGGTAGGGGGGCGCATTGAGTTACCTGGCCTTGGGGCGGCAGAGAGAGTAAATCCGGCCCTGCCTGCAAGCCACAACAGTACTGAGTGAAGGCACCCAAATTCTAAAGACACCTTAAGATCTTAGATTGGACACATAAATCGTATAGGAAACAGCCTATAGAACTGAGCAGCGTCTTTCCAATGTCAGCTATCTGCAGAGGGCCCAAGCTTGTTGTGGGTCTTACCACTGAATGGTGAGACCTGTGAACCACAACAGTCACCCACAGCCAAATAAACCCCTAGCACCTCTATACCAGCAATTTTCATGGCAAAAACACTGCTTTATTACCATGACCATGTAAAGTGTTATTGAATTTTCTGTATCTTTATACGCATAGAGGTTTATTTTTTATCTTCAACAAAAGAAGGAATAGAAAGTGGTACCAAAAATCCAAGATAGTTAATTCGCTTAGTCCAACAAAATAACTGCCGGGGCCACTTAACCTGCATCTGGAGCAATCATCCTTGATGAAGGCGCCCTTTGAACCCCCCAAAATGTGTTGGCTTTCTGAATAAATATATATCTGGGCTGCATATGTTCTTCTTTTGGTGATTTCCCCCTTGCACACCTAGTAAAGACACAACCTTTGGTCACTACTCCCGGGAGAGCTACCTAAGGGTAATTATTCCCTCTACACTGCTTACTAACACTAAGCTCAGGAGTTAAATCTTAAAGGAGAACTATGGGGTCAGTGTTTTTCCTCATAGTTCTCCTAAGGGTCACGGGAGGACATATACTATGGTCTTCCCGTGCCTCCAAGCTCAGTATATCGCAAGCTACAGCTCGCGGTATACTGAGACCGCCGCAGCCGGGACGGTCCCGACATTACTGTCGGGATCCACCCAGCGGTCTGAGTGACAGCTGGCTCTGCCTATGACCGAATGCCCGACTTTTTAGAGGGGGTGACACCAAAATGACTGTCATTTTGGTGTCACCCCTCCAATGGTGTCACCTGGGTGTGGGCCGCACCTCCCTTGTGATGCCACTGTTCCCATCACTTAATGTCTCAGTGACAATGGTCCCCAAGACAGATAGAGAGGGTTAATCTGCCCAGACACAGACAGCAATAAAAACATGACCAGGGTCCTAACCCTTTCCTACTCTATGCGAAACGGGAAAAAAAGCATCACCGTGCACTCTGGATGTCAGAAAATGACAGCTTCCATCTTACAGAGTTAAAACAGCAGAAAGGCATCATGGCACACTCACAAAACCAGCATGTAAAACAACTTGTCTCACCACTAAGGATAATGACAGTGCGGCTTACACATCCTCGGCTGAAGACGTGTATCCAAACCTCTGTCATTGTCCTTAGTGGTGAGACAAGTTGTTTTACATGCTAGTTTGTGAGTGTGCCATGATGCCATTTTACTGTTTTACTGTTCAAAACCCATTTCGTGTGCACCTTACTGTATAACTGGTAACAAATTGTTGAGTGCGTTTGTCGTTTGTTTTTCTTACAGAGTTAGCCTTCTTCATTTGAACATTTTCACTGCAGATTCATTATTACATAGCATTTGAGGTTGAATAAAGACACAGGTCCATCAAGTTCAACCTTTGTATGTGCATGCGTGTGTGTGTGTGTATATGAGTCCCTGTGCGGTCTTAGTTTTTATTCCATAGTATATTTTTACTTTTCCTTAACTACAACCCACTAGATGAGCTCACCAAAAAATTACAAGTCTATGAAGGAAGAAGAAACTGAAGACGATAGAATGGACATAATTTGTTTGTAGTGCAATAATCGGAGTTTTGTGCATTGTGTGTGATTTTATGAATTTCTATACAGTATGACCCTGACCCAAATATTGAAGATACAGAGCACATGTTCCAGTAATTATCATCTTTATATGACCCGGAACAGTTGGCTTGACTTTGGCAATATCACAATTCACTATAACTGTTTCCATGTCCAGTATGATAAGGCCATTTGGTGGCCGGTCACTCTGTATGTTGGCTATTAAAGCAACCCTGTCAACCAAAAGCTCCTAAATGAAGGTGCCCTGCAGGAAAAGGGCCTGTGTACTCATCTGTTGGCCAGTCCGTGTCTCCTACCTCTGCTGTACTGCAGAGCAGTGTAGTCTCTTTGGCATTGACTCAACAGTGAGGTAGGGTTCGGAGCAAGGAACCAAGGGGTGCGGTGGGGGACATGGGCGATTCGTTTCGGAAAGATTCGTTATTCGGACGAATTTCTGTTATTTGGATATATCTAAAATCGTTAGCGGTAGTCTGTACGAATTTACGTTGTAGCAAAGTGACATTAGAGGAAAAAAAGGGAAGTGGGGCTGACATCTGGGTGCCCACTTCATTAAAGGGGTACCCCAATGCAAATAAGCCCCCCTGCCCGAAGACCCCCACAATGATCGGGTCAGGGTTGTGGGAAATAGGCCCTTGTCCCCATCGGCATAGGGACACCCTCCCAATGCCACGTGGCCTTGTAAGGCGCAGGGAGGGGGGGGCGCTCAATCATTCCCCTTCCTTTCTTGCCCTGCCAGGCCTTTGCTCGGATCAAGGGTCTGGTAGGAATTTTAGGGGGGACCCCACTTTTCCCCCCCTATTTTTGGGGGGTGGGGTTCTCCCTTAAAACTCCTACCAGACCTAAAGGGCCTGGTATGGCTTTTGGGGGGACCCCACCCACTTTTTATTATTTTTATCTTTGGAGGGGATCTCTCCTAACATTCCTACCAGACCTAAAGGGTCTTGTATCAATTGGGGGG